TCACTGCCCCAAAAATATCCACAGGTTAGACCACCACATCCAATCCCCGGATGCAATCACCATTTGGATGGGTCGTTATGCATTTTCCACACAGAGAGCGAGGAAATCAATGGGGGCTTTAACGAAAGGGTGAGCAATGCACGCTTGCTCGTTTAAAAGCGCACACTAATGAAGATGAATAACACGCAGACATGTGTGACCCACACGCACCGCTGTGTCCGAGCGCCGGGGCGCCGTGAATTACACGTAGAGGAGGAGTAGGAACCACGCTGAGCCACGCTCGCCTCGCGCAGCCTGTAGGTGCGGGCCACTGTTAGCCGTCACCTGTAATGGCCTCGGTTGTGAGCGGGCGGCGTGGTGAGCACCCACGCACGCCCTGCCTCGTTCGCCTCGGGCACGTTGGTCACGTTTGGAGCAAAGCGACCGCCACGGGGCTTGGCTCGATTCAGGCCTGAATCGACCCTGACCGTCATCACGATTAAGGCCGGAAACTTAGGCCGGGTTGCCAATATTTGTTGTGAAGCAGACTCGCCGCTCCTTAGTCAAGGGGCATAAACCATCGCCGCACAAACTCCAGTCGTCCCCGCGGCGGCTTTTGGCTGGCCATCGAACAAAGACGGTCACCGCATCAGTGCAGCTAGCAGCACCTGCTGAGACCTTGGGTTGGGATCAACACCGTTGCCCAAGACGAAATTATTTTGTCACTGGGTGCCAGGGGGGTCGATGCTGCTAAACCCAGATTATATTACTCTTTGGTTCTTTCGGTAAAGTCACGTAGGTATGAAAAATAAAATAAATTAAATCACGACGTTTCGGGCACAACACAAGCGTCCGTCATCAGGTGGGACAACCACAGCGAGAAACAATTACACTTCAGCAATTGTTTCTTGCACTTCAGAAATTGCAGTCACGGAAACTTCAAATCCGAATTATATTGCCCAGTGGGCTGGTGCTGGAATTTGCCAAATTTCACACTGGGCCCTGCTCAGACATCAACTTCAATCGGCCAGTGGCTCTGGAGTCACGTAAAGGATTCTAGAGTTATGCACAAACTCATCTGGGCGGTGGCGGTGGCTACGCACGCCTTTGATCCAGCACTGTGGAGGCAGCGAGGGTTGGCGGATCGTCCGGAACGCTCTTCCTTCCGTTATTAGAAAGGCACTGGAGAAATGCACTTTTTAATCATCTAGTTTGAAAACTCATTCCTTTAGAACTGCTTTTTGTGTTTAGTTTGTTGACCTTCCCCCGCACCTACGATTAGCATGGACGGCTGCATACGGTGCGAAAGAAGTTCAACATAAATCCTGGCAGTAATCTGGATTATGATCAGGAATTCAACCCGAGTTGGCAATATTGTTGTGCAGTGGACTCACTGGGCAGCACACTGACAGCTCCCTTCAACACCGACATGAGTGCCGGGAAGTTCCTGCAGGAATCGTACTCGATTTAACAACGCAATGCGCATCATAACCAGAACACTGAAGCTGGCACCATTCCTCTGGCTCCCTGTTCTGGTGATCCAAAAATCTGCAGAGACGAGCAAACTGAAAGTGAGTTTACACGTTTCATTGCCAATGACAACCACCAACAACTATCATCAACCAAGACCTGAACGATGTTCCTCACCGCCGACTCAAATCGCGATCCCATCCCTTCTGGGATCGTGCTGCTGTCACCATCATAGAATCTAAGACAGATCTGTAAGCATGGATTTCCCCCGAACATCACACGTGATTTTAACATTCCTTGAAGGCACTGAGAAATGCACTTTTTTTTATTTGACCAGGCAAGGCCCACTGATCTATGTAGCTCTTTTTCAGAAGCGAGCTGGCCAGAAATTATAGCTCAACGAAGTGGCTTATCGTGTGGAAATGTATAGCAGCCAAATATTTTAAACGCATGTTGATTCTAAATATGGAGGAAGAAAAACGGAGGACTCGGCGGGTTTCCGACAGGGCTCGTGTGTATCAAAGTCGTAATATAGCGGCGATCATAATACAATCGGCAGTTGATGAAGTGGCTTATCATGTGGAAGTGTATTGCAGCCAAATACTCTAAATGCATGTTTCTAAATGTGGAGGGAAAATCCAGAATACCAGGAGAAAAATCCACACGATCACGCGGAGAGAGAGAGAGACAGGTAAACTCCAAATATACAGCGGGCGTCAGAGTCGAACCCAAGACCTCCTGCGTACCGGGCGACGTAGCTAACATCTCGCTACCACGGCGCCCTATTCTTAATCTCTCACATGCGTACCTTGAATAGTGCATGTAAAATTTAACATGCATTACAATGTGTGCAAATAGTTTGGCTTGCTAATGTTGCAATTTGGGCTAATAGAGTGAACAAAGTCTGTGCACAAAAGGAACGCGGGAGAAAGCGATGCAACAGAGGTGAGAAATTAGACAATAAAAATAACCCACTTCTGAATTGCAAACCGTAAACCGTATTTATTTTTAATGTAAAACCACCTCCACTCAAGGGGGTATGAAAACGTTGCACACTAAAATAAAATGCAAAGACAATTAAATAATGTTTAAGTAAAAGCCACGAGAAAATCGTGAGTCTTGCACTCCCTCCTCAACACACTGAGGCCCTGTCACGTGCCGGATCACCGCCGGCAAGGCATTCCAGATTGTTGGGGGGCAGCGCTTGAGAAGACCCAACGTCCCCAGCGTCCAGTGCAAGAGCCGAGGCTGGGAGGGTACTAGGGTCCTGCTCTGAAGAGCGAAGAGTATACATTAAATCGCGACTGTGGATCCTTGCAGTTCAGCGGTGCGTTGGACACGTGAACCGTTGCGTCCCTACGCAAATCGTTTCACGACGAATCCGCCAACGCCCGTTGGGAATCGCAGTTTGTTTTCAGGAATTTCATTGCGATTTGTGAGCTCCGGAGAGTGGGAATCGCCCAACGCCGATAGGACAGTACAGCGATCGCGCTGATCAATCATCGGTGCTTTCCCCGGTTTCTAATGTCATCGTCATAAATTGCTGCTTCTAGGCGCGCTAATAACCTTCAGCGGATATCATGAGGTCAATATTATCTCCTGGCAGTTGTGCAGAATGAGAAAACAATCGTGCCTAAGTGCCACAATTGCCATCGTGTGTGTGACGGTGATGACGATGACAATCCCCTGTTATCTACTGCACGGTGGGAACCACTTAAAAATAGCCTGCAGCATTTATCAGCATAAACAGTCAACGCACATTGAGGGAGAGCACAATTTATACTGTGATGTAGCGAGACAGGAAATTGCATGCCTGAGCGTTTGCGTGTCCGTGTATTGTGTACGGGTGGAGCGGTGGTGCGGTGGTCAGTGCACTGCACTACGAACCCGGCGACACGAGTTCGATTCCCGTTCATGACCAACATCAGTCACGATTATTTGAACCGGTCTTGGGCCTCCCCTAGCTCGACTCAGCCTCAAACAAGCACCTGGTGTGGTGTGTAAACATCGCCACTGGGGAGACAAAGGCGGCCTGACACGGTGCTGGCCACCCACCTCCTCGAGTACCGTGCAGGCCTTCATAGGTGCTACTCGCTAACAGCACTTGCCCCAACAGTCTGACCTGAATTTGATTCCTGGCTGTGGCTATAATCAGTAGAGAATATTTGAACCGGTCCTGAATTGAGTGCCCGGGTGCGCTGTGTGAATATCACTACTGGAGAGACAAAGGCGGCTAAGCATCGTGCTACTAGCTGCACCATCCCATTGTGCACTGTGATAGCCTTAATAGGTGCTCGCTAATATCAACGGTCTGTGTAGGCCATAGGGGAATATCTCCCTTGGAATTTGCATCACCCTATTTACGTAGCATCAGCAAATAATTAGCAAAATCGCACATTCGCTGATAAAATTCACCGTGTTCTCCGGATAGTGTTCGGAGCGCGAGCGTGCACCGTAGTGACGAGATGTTAACTACCTCGCCCGGTATACAGGAGGTCGTGGGTTCGATCCCGTCCCTGACGCCTGCTGCTGCCGCTGCTGTATATTTGAAGGTTGCACGTTCTCCGCTTGTTTACCCCTCCACATTTAGGATCAACATCACGCGTTCAGAGTGTTTGGCTGCCGCTGTAAATGTCCACGCGACAAACCGCTTCGTTGAGCTATCATTGGTGGTGGCCAGGTCACTTCTGTATAGAACATTGGCACATAGCTCAGTGGGTCTTACATGGTAAAAAATAGTTTAAAATAGCACAAAATGCTAAAAATAGCAGTCGGTCTTTGTGCCCAGTGGAGGCATTTCGGATTCTTGCAAAGGGCTCGCCGCTACGCTGTTCCGCGCACGAACGGCGGTGCAGGGATTTCCGCGCGGTGCGAGGGAGCATCTCATTGCGTATGCAGCACGCCACCTCTGAACGTGTCGTACCGCAGAGCCAAAAATAGCATCGGCTTCCCCCGCCTACGAATCTCCCGCGTCCCCCCCCCCGCCCGCGCCCGCCGTGCGTGGGAGGACGCGCGATGTCTATAAATTGCCACCGCCACACAGGGCACTCTCGATCGCGATAGCGCAAAGGGGAAGTCCTCGTCTGCTCATGCAGAGCCCTCCTCTCACGACAAATACCTCTGCGTGAAGCCGCTGCGTTTGCGTGCATTTTGTACTTGGTGAAAGGATTCCTGGGCCCGAACCTGTCCGAAGAGCGGCGTCTCGCTGATTCTCGTCGCTCGCGAGTCGAGTTCGGTGAAGTCTCGATCGGAGTCGGTCTTGGAAGCGAGCCACCGCCTCCCTCATCATCGATTGGGATCTCGCGCAGCATCAGGCGGCGGAGAAGCGGGACAATTGTGCCGCCAGGGCTCGCACGGCTCCTCGTGAATTTAATCAAGGAGCGGCGAGAGGAAAAACATTTTTTTAACATTTTTTTTTTGGCCAACAAAGAGAGAGAGCAGAAGCTGCGTTGTCAGTGGCGGTAGTCGAGGCGGAGGAGGAGCAGAGAGCGGAGCACGTGGAGAGAGCGAGCGAAAATGGTGCACAGCGTCATCTACGTTCTGTTCCGCAGGAGGCTCACCCAGCGGCCGTCCGCGGAGGAGCTCGAGCAGCGCAACATCCTGAAGCGTGAGTGTGGCACGCGGCGCACCTCACACGCACGCATGCCGCACACACACACACACGTGCCTCACACACACACACGCCGCACACACACACGTGCCTCACACACACACACACGTGCCTCACACACACACACGCCGCACACACACACACGTGCCTCACACACACACACACGTGCCTCACACACACACACACACGCCTCACACACGCCTCACACACACACGCCTCACACACACGCGTGCACGCACGCAGCTAGATCACAGCCTCACACACACGCATGCACGCCGCTAGAGCACAGCCTCACACACACACACGCCTCGCACGTGCCTCACACACACACACGCCGCTAGATCACAGCCTCACGCACACGGCTCACACACACGCCTCACTCACGCGCCGCGAGATCACAGCCTCACGCGCCGCGTACGCCAACACCGGGGTGGCGGCAGCGGCAGCAGCGGCAGCGCGCTGGTGACACTCGCCGCGCCTCGCAGCAAGAAGCACCGGGGTTCGATTCCCAACTCGAGTGCCTCTCTGCGTGTAGTCTGGGTGTTCCTCTCTTCCCCCGTGCTCTGCATGCATTTTCTCCCGGTTCTCCGGTTTCCTTCCAGAGATAAACACAAACACACAATGTAACTGGTACTAGCCAAACATCTCAATGCCGAAACATCAATCTGAAATTACTCATTTTAACAGTTGGTTTTAAAATGTTAAATGGAGGATAGTTTTCCATACAGGGGGCCTCGGTTTTAAGAAAGGTGCCTTAAATAAATGTAAACTTTGATTGGTAATTTGCGATTGCATACAGCAGCAGCATTGCTGCCTCCTGCAATATACGTGGCAGGATCCTCCTGGAAAGAGTGTTGAGACTCCGCGAGGATTTCCTGGGTAAACGGCCATCATAGACATATATATAATACCATGCTAGATGGGTGGGCGTGTGCGTTTCTCATGAAGCATAAATGTGAAGAATTAACATTTTCCACAGTGAATCAGAAATTAGCATCAATCAATAACAATCATAATTAATAACAATCAATAAATATAACAGTTAATACTATTAATTAAATCAGTACGAATTTTTATTAAATGTCATATAATTAATAATAACGTAATTAATGATATTTTTTTCTCTCCTCCTGAATCTTTGGCCTGGTACGTCCATGTGTAGAGTACACACACAGCCCTCCACTGTTGGATGGCATCGTGCCTACACCATGCGGGTCGTAGGGGTTGCTTGACCATACTTCTCCATGCTGGTCAGCGTCGTTGGCGAGCACATGGCCACAGTGTGAGTTCAGTGTGCAGTGCGGTTATTCCAAGTGGTTGGAAGCCAAAGTTCCCACGGTGGTGAGATGTTAACTACCTCACCTGGTATACAAGAGGTCGTGCGTTTGATGTGTGTCTCTCTCCGTGGTCGCGTGGATTTTTCTCCGGGTCCTCCGGTTTTACCCTCCACATTTAGAATCAACGTGCATTTCGAGTATTTGGCTCCTTTACATTTCCACATGATAAGCCACCTGTAGCTACATCACTTCTCAAAAAGAGCTACATAGCTCAGTGGGCCTTACATGATAAAATAACAATAGTTCAAACTTTTAGGTTTAATAGTTTGAAGTGAGGGCTAAACCAGGAGCGTTGCAAACCGAAACGCGTGCGTGCGTGTACCTGCTTGGATGTTCATGGATCCCGTGTTGCTGCCACTTTGATTGCAGAGCGAAACACCGACGAGGAGCGAGATGAGAAGAGGGAGATCAAGCAGAGGCTCTCCAGAAAGGTGGGAAGAGATCTCCTTACGAGCCGCGGACATTCACCCCAACCACCCCGTCCCCCCTCGCCCATCGCCCGTTGTTTTCCCCTCCCCCATGGGCACACCGCTCCCAATCGTTACCCCTTACCGCTGTGGAGCACCGAGCCCGGACGTTATCGGTAACAATGGCAACGGGATAACGACACCTGTCACCATTGTTACGTTATCGGTAACAATGGCAACGGGATAATGATCACCTGGCACCATTGTTACATTATCAGATCTTTACCTGGCCTAACCCAAAAACTATGATGAACCACGGCACTGTGCTGCCCGTGCAGACGTCCGCCTTGTGTGTTGCACCTCTGTAATGGTTGTGTGCGCGCAACAGAGCGACGCGACTAACCCAAGTAACCCCGTGCCCTCCTGCCCCCCCCCCCCCCCCCGTCACCTGTCAGCTGAGTCAAAGGCCGACGGTGGAGGAGCTCCGGGAGAAGAGGATTCTGATCCGCTTCAACGACTACGTGGAGGTGTCGGACGCGCAGGACTACGACCGGCGGGCAGACAAGCCCTGGACCCGGCTCACGGCCGCGGACAAAGTGAGTCCTGCTTGGGCAGGGGTTCGCGGACCGGCTGAGGATGGGCAGCTCAGGGCAAGGGAAAGCGGGTGCTTGCAGCGTGGCTATAATGCTTGCGCCGCAAACGTCAGGAATGACCTGGGTTCGACTCCCCACTCGTGCGACTTTCTGCGTGGAGTCTGTGTTCTCTCTCCCCATGTTCTGCGCGGGCTTTCCTCGGGGTTCTCCGGTTTCCTCGCGTGGCTAAAATCGTGCAATGCCGTTGTCGCTGGCCAAACATCCCAACGTAGCGGGGACCCTCCTGAAAATCAGCCTACGGATTCTTTCACGAGTGATTAGGCAATTATTATCATCAGCTGACATTCCAGCAAAAACTCTGTAACAGCTACAGATCTCCGTGGTGTGGGAGATGTGGCCTTTTGTTTCGTGCTCTCTGATCTGAGCCAGCCGAAGGTCGTTGGGCCACCGTCAGTGGCAAGATGGGCATCACTGCGTTGCACCCGGCAGTGGGCACAACGCGCCGAGCCCGAGGTCCAGTGATGTGGATTTCACCTCGATTAGCCGAGAAGAGAAAAGAAATGCCATAGTGGTGATTCTGCGTTGGCAGCGGGTGCACAAGCAAAAATAACAACGGAACATTGCGTTCCGTTTACGTGACAAACTTTAATAATTGGCTGTCAGGTGGGGGCGGGTTTAACGCCACATTTATATTTAGGGAATCTAACCCAAAAAAACCTATATTATGGATAATATTGGTCGCGAAAGCCCTATTACGTGTTAAACCAACAAAAAACTCTAAACATTTGCCAAGAGCACAGTGGCCTGAATGGAAAAGTACGTAACAGGCGATATTTTGGGCCATTGGCCCGACTTCATATCACATAGAGAGGCCAGAGAAACTGAATAACGATAAGATGTTGAGACTGCAACTTAAATTTCGATTTAAAGCTTTCGTGACTGCAGGGATTCATCTTCTTGGTTCTTTCGGTAAAGTCACCGAAAGAACCAAGAAGAAGACTGCAACTTATTTACATCATGGGGCCTGATAAGAATTACATATTGAAATGTCCCCTGTAAAATGTCGGTTAAATAGGCGTACGAAGAGTTAGCTGTTAGTAGCTATCGAGTTACAGTCAAACGACTAAAAAATATGTCCTTCCAATTTTAGGAAGCCACTGGAGCTAAGCGCTTTTAAATGATATAAATTGACAACTCGTTTCTTTAGAACTGCTTCTTGTGTTCAGTTTATTGTCCTTCTCCCGCACCTCCAATTAGCACGCTTGGCTACGTACGGTGTGCGCAAGGAGTTCAACGTACACACGGCAATGATCCACACTGCTTTCAACCGAGGTGGAAATATTCACGTGCCAGCTTTGTCCGTCTGTCTCTCTGAAAAGCAAAGTCTTGCGTAGAGACACGATGACGATCCAACACGAATGAAACTACAGTACAGAATAAAGTTGTTTTCCCTGTGTGGGGCCTTACGTAATAATAGGGAACCGGTAGCATTGATCAAAGAGTTTCTCAAAACTTGGACGCAACACTCAGCGCTAAGAGAAAACTCGCACTCTCCCCGCACTCACACTCGCCGATGACGTCATACCCCGTGGTGCCACACCCTGCAACGTCTTTGGACGTCGCCCGCCATACGAAGTCGTCTCGCGTGGCCTCCGGGCGTGCCGACACTGTCGACAATTGAGTCGACAGTGGACTCACGATTAATCCGCGTGCGGTTTAACCGATTTGCGGATTGACCACGCGCCTGAGATTTTGACAACTTAATAACGTGTGGATTTTCCCTCGAGCCCAAATTAATCACGTAAAAATAGTTATACATTGTTCTTGGAAATGTTTATTGCAGGTCACGTGCTTAAACTGAACAAATTGTGCTCCGGTTAACCCAAAATCCACGTGATCGCCTCTACAGTGCAGTAGTTGCCAGATCTTTACAATAGTCGGGCGGAGTTTGATTGATGTTGATTGGCGTGGCTCTGCTATCATCCACTAAGTGGGCCGAGTCTTCTGTGCGGGAGCAGGAAAGTGTTGTTATTATTACTGAGCACGAGCATCGATCGGTTGATATTTTTGGATTATCCGTGATTTCTAATCATCCGAGGCCATCCCCTCCCCGTCATTAGCACGGATTAAATCGAGAGTCCACTGTACTTCCTCGGGCAAGTGCGCGTCGGGAAGCTTCAACGGAATCCACGCACGAGCGTGATTCTTCATCCCGGCTTTAACGACTGCTTGACTCTTGCGCTCGCAGGCAGCAATACGGAAGGAGCTGAACGAATACAAGAGCCGGGAGATGGAAGTCCACGAGCACAGCAAGCACCTCACACGGTAGAGCCGCACGTCCACCCACCCGGCTGCCCGAGTTTCGCTCAAGGCCAACATCGGCGATGATTATCAGAACCGGTGCTGGGCCTCCCCTAGGTCGACTCAGCCCTAAATGAGGACCTGGTGCAGTGTGTGAACATCAGCACTGGGGAGACAAAGGTAGCCATGGGCGTGGCACTATTCTGATATTTAACGTGAACTGTTGTGAATTTTTGACGACTACAACACAACTGCATGCAGCCGAGGTTGACACGTTAACCCGCACGCCTCTTCAGAGAGTTATGAGCAATAATTGCTGGGACTTTGACGCGATATTGAACCTCGAATTCCTCCGGCAGTCTGAAATCAGATTCAGAATCCGTAATCGTCCCGGAGAAATGCGATGAGATATGAAGTGCAAAGTATAGGAAAGGGACGGTTAGCAAATCACAAAAATTATATATAAATAAAATATATGAAGCAACAAGAACAGTCCCAGACCACAGCAAGACAACACACAGTTGCCCCTCACTGAAATTGCATGTTGAAATGAAACTATCGATACTACGCGGGATAAGGATGAAAGCTACAAATCACATTGGCAAATCCAGTTGTATCCGGCACTAATCTTCTGCTTCAGGATATTTTTCGAAGGAAGATTTACGATGTTAAGGGAGGACGCAAGGTCGTTCCAAAACTGTGGTACTGCAACGGCAAAGGCATTGTCATCGCTTTCAAGTCTTGCTTTTTGGATAGTTAAAAAGCAATTAGGGGTGGACGCTTTAGGGGTCTTGGCCTTGACAATGGGGTTAACGAATGAGCTAAAGTATCGCGCAGATTTGCCAATGAGGATGTTTACGGATGGACATGGCCCCGGTGTAGGTTTCTTCTCGCGTAAAGTGACGTGAGATTGGATTGAAAGTAAACCCTGAAAGTCACCGCTAGCTCCGACTTTCCTAGATCCTCTGAGAATTGCTCCATCCACGACGCACACCTGCCGTGGCATCGTTTACCGGTGCGCGTCTTTAGCTGGGGGTCACGTGGGGTTCGTTGCCGGCAAAGCACCCTGCTTAGGTCTCGGCCACAACATTCCGGAACGCTTCTCCGGGAATTATTTTATGGCGCTCCTTCTCGCCTTACTTTACCCTATTATTATTTTTAAGAACAGTTAATAGTATTATAGGAATATAGGGCACAATAATATAGGGTTATTATGGATAGGCGGTACCTTTTTTTAACAACACGTTAATAGGATTGTACGACTATAGGGCACAGTAATATAGGGTTATTATGGATAGGGGGGACCGTGTGCTCTAGTGGTAGTGGTAGTGCCTTACGCCGTTAATATGTAGAAACGTTCTGGAGAATAGCAAGGGGAGAAGTGGAGCCCTGGCAAAGCAGTTCCCTGATCGCAGAGAGCAAGAGTTTGAAGCAATAATCCTGCACTGTGCAAGTGGCTGGGGTCAGACTGTGGTTGTATTCGCAAGCCCGCTGACGTGTGTGGCAGAGTTCACTTCACGGCCGTTTGCTTCACCGAGTGGAACATTGTGGGTGCATACGTGCAATCCGTTTAACTGCGTATGCATTCACTGTATCCACGCATCGTGTTCAAGTTAGTAACAGTTGAATGCATGATTAAATGTGTGTGTTTCTGAATGTGTATTCATTCATCAGTGACGGCTACAGATTAAGCGAGTTGATACAAGTCCAAAGCTCACCTCTGCTGATGTGATGGTTTTTGTGTTTTTTAAAGGGGGTTTGTTTGTATCTGTTGGCGATCGTGCGCTCACTAAACTGCCAACGTGTCTTTCCTTCGTGCAGGTTCCACCGGCCATAATCGCCGTTCGCCGCCATACTCCTGGCCGGAATTCTGTTTCTCTCTCCTCTCTGCGGACCCCAACCTGGTGTCCACAGGCAGCCTCACAAGTGCCTGATGAAGAACGAGGAGTTTTTCTTCTAAAGGGTGGGCCAAGCCTTCTGGCACGGAGCGAGCGAGACGTCTCAAACGCAATGCACGGGAAAAGCTTCCAATTTACGATTTAGAAACTTTGAACTCTTGCGGGGAAAAAAGGAAGAATAAGAGAAAAAACACCGAGCAAACGCCGGTGGCAGCTTTCGCTAAAATCTGTGAACGTCGCCAAAGTCTCTTTGTTCGGCGGAGAGAAATCGCTTTGGGATCCTCCTTCTCATTGTGGCGCTGGTGGCTGCCGCACAGCCTCGCGAGGAGCGCGGGAGAGGACGTTTGAGTTTGTTTCTCCTTAACGGCGGCGGTTTCAGTAAATTGCTGTTGTTGTCGATGGATTTGGCTCCGATTAAAAAAAAAAGAAATCACGGCGGCCGAGCGAAGAGAGCGAGCTTGCGGCTGGGTCGGCCCGGGCTGCCCTTCCTGTCGCGAGGAGGGCAACGCGAAGAGGGAGAGAGGGAGGGATGGTGGCACGCGGCACGTTGCGATCCACCGTGGAGGGACAGCCGCAGCTTGGAGGCTCTTCACCGCCCGCCGCCGCCGCCGTCTGCGGTGAACTGGTTCTCGAGTTTGCGGGGGACTGCGCAGGTTGACCCGAGCCGCGTGGCTGCGATGGGTGAGCGGCCGTCAAGCCTTGGCAAGGCCACACACGGGCAGATCTTTAGGACGCGGACGGCGACGTCTACGCGGTCCAGCAGTAGCACAACGCTCATTCTTTGCCGAATGGAATATTATCGATACGCCGGGTCGTTTTGATTTGGCAAGCAATCGAGGTTTATTTATTTTGAACAGAAAAATGTGAGGAGTTAACGTGGCGTAGTGGAAGAGGAAAGCGCTTTGGCGATCGGTCGAGGTTCCAGTTCACGATGTTGTTTCCCGAGGCCATCGGAGTGTCGCGTGCACTCCAAGCACGCGGGCCCAGCAGGTGGGTTCTCCTCCTCCCTTAGCTTTTCATGGAGACACGTCTCTGCACTGTGATAAAAAAAAATACGTAAAACGCAAGGGATGACGATGTGTTATTTTACAGCTGTAAAAAAATATTTTTTACTTGAAAAGGATTTATATCAGTTTTACGTGATGTTATTCATTACTTTAAGAAAAACCCTTTATTATTTTATACGTAATGGTCTTTGCATTTTTGCATAATGGGGAGGACGACCGATACCAGTGCCGATCCCGCTTTGCGTTTTGTATCATCGGTGCAATTCGATTATTTGCAGCCCTCGGAGGACGCGGCGTCGCCCGCCCATCGGCCGCGTGTCGTTGGGGAACGCAAAATGATGGCGAGGTTATTGTGCTACCTTTTTGTTGTTGCTGCTGCTGCGAATTAACCCGTAAAACTTCCCTGGTTGAACCCCACGGTTTACTCCACGCTCGGCACCGCTGCGTGCTTCTCCGATGAGGCCTGGTGCCGGGCAAGGCTTTTTGACGCATGGCCTCGGAAACGCGGAAGCAAGCCGTGTTTAAAAAGCGAGGAGGGGGGCGGTGTTTGGGCGAGTTTTCAAAAGCACTGCGACCACGATGCAGTCGCCGTTTTCGTCACTGTTCACGTGCCAATTCTCACACGAGGGGTCGTCAGTGCTTTGCTACTGAAGGAGGGAGGGGGAGGGCCTTTTCTCCCAGTTTGTAATCTCGTGCTGTGCTCACTGCCAGGGGTATGTCTGCCACGTATTTACACTCTCGATTTCTCACACCGCTGCCAACGTAGTCTCTGTGACTTGTCTCGAAATTGGAACGTGCATTGCTACAAAGGACTGAAGTAATTTCGAAGCAACACTCGTGCGCTCGACACGTGCGGTAATTATCATGGTGATCATTATCGTCGGCCTCAATCAATCCACCGCTGGGTGAAGGCCAGCGCGGGCTGCCGACGGATAGGCCACGGTCAACGCATTCAGTTGTTGATGTCGGAAAAGTTCGTCTCCATATCGCCAAGCGTGTTGAGCGGCCGCACGCGCGGTGCCGGTGTGCCAAGGGAGAGCGCCGCAACGTGACCTGTGACCTGTGACCCGCGTGCTGCCCGCTCCGGCGTGGCGTTACCCGACCCCACGCACCGCGCGAGAACAGCAGCCGAACCTCCACGGCTGTAGGGCGCTGGAGGACTGCGGTTGAATGTCGGCTGTGCTCTCCCGGCAGAACAGGTCACATATTGCGAATGTAGAGCACGTTGCACATTCAAACCCTACACTTAGTTTTTTTTATTGCGGTGCATATACACGCTTCAATTATCCTGCCCTGAGAACGTGGAATTTCCTGCATTAAACAGATAAGGTACCACCAAATGCGCATTTAAACACGGGGATTCTTTCATTTCTTTTCCAACTTCCATGAAAGTGTTAAGATCCTCAGATTTAGTCACGAAATCATCCACTGCGTTATGATCCCTTGCACTGTTTGTAAGGAAGCTGTGCGCACGTGTTCCGATCGTCAGGTGTCAAATGTTGGTGCTTCCACAAGTCACATCCCACATTTATAGTTTTTTTTACTTCGACAGACATATCGGCGGGGAGGATTTTTGTTCCTTTATTTCCGGAGCCGCAACAAATTCGACCGTCCCTGCATACGCACGCGGGCCTGCAGTTTCGCAACGGACCTGTGTTTTGCGCGTACATTTAGTGTCGTCGGTTTGTTTGCCGAGGCCATCCCGAGCAGCACGCTGGAGACCGGTCCGCCTCAAATGTAAACGCACCCCCCCCCCCCACCCTCCAGACCTGTCAGCCTCACGGGATCCGAGTGCGAATCAAGAAAACCCAACGTGGCTCCTCGTTCATTCCCTCTTCGCACATCGCGAACTTGGTCCGCTTTTGTTTTGGAACACCGCGGGTGTCTGCCGGGTGTCTGCCGGGTGTCTGCCGGATGGCCGCGGCTTGTGGAGATTCATCTGTGAGCAGCAGTTGGGGTTGGTGGTGCGACTCCCGTCTGTCCAGCGGGGGGGCGGGGGGCTGAGAGCACTGACGGGGGGGGGGGCACGCCCAGGGGGGGGGGGAGCATGGGCCACCGGGGTTGGTGGTTTGGCGGCGTCTCTCCGCACAGCTCTCGCTGAACCGCGCTCGCCTCCAAATGCACCAGGCCCTCTCGAGGGCGTGCGCCCGTTGCGACCGGAGGGCCATCGCTCATTGTTATCCGCGGCCACGATTTGTGTGATCATCACCCGTCTGGTGTCCACAGCCATTGCGTCGGTGGACATTCGCTGGTCGTCACGGTCACCGGTCGCATTCCTCGCGGCCAAAAAATTGGTGACCAAACACATCCGTGCATGTGTGTGCGCGTGTGCGCGTTATGTTAATGTAGTGCAGCGGTTAGCCGCTACGCTGCGCTACGAACCCGGCCATCCGGGTTCGATCCCCTCTCACGGACAACACCGGGGACGATTATCTGAACCGGTCCTGGGGCCTCCCCTAGGTCGCCTCAGCCTTAAATGAGTACCGGGTGCGGTGTGTAAACATGGCCACTCGGGAGACGAAGGCGGCCGGGCGTGGTGCTGGCCACCCACGCCCTAGAGTGCCGTGCCAGCCTTCGTAGGTGCTCGCTAACAGCACTTGCCCCAACAGTCTGTCAAGGCTAACATGCGGTGGGACCTTTGTCTTGTGTGTCCCGGCGAGTCGTTGTTCACTTGCTGCTTTGCAATGAGGCGGCAAGCCGGCGGCGTGGGGCCCTTTGCCAGGTTGGTGTCCAAGCCGGCGGCGTGGGGCCCTTTGCCAGGTTGGTGTCCAAGCCGGCGGCGTGGGGCCCTTTGCCAGGTTGGTGTCCAAGCCGGCGGCGTGGGGCCCTTTGCCAGGTTAGAACTCCGTCAATGATATTTTGGTGTCCAAGCCTGGACCCCGAAATCCTACCCCCCCCCCCCCCACATCAACCCCCACTTGGCGATTGTGAGATCGACGGATTTGAATGCGGGCCGCGGGGGGGGGGGAAAGATTTAAAAAATCGTCCAGATTTTGTGCCAACGAGCAATGCCAGCGGACGGCGTTAGCTGGCAGAACTAGTGCCAACCGTTAAGAGGAGGCGTGAAGGTGTCACCCTGTGTGTGTGTGTGAAGGTGTCACCCCGTGTGTGCGTGTGAGGGGGCAGCTGTAGCGGAGTGGTTAGCGCGCTGCACTATAATCCCGGCGACCCGAGTTCGATTCCCGCTCACGGTCAACACCCAGTGACGATTATTTGAACCGGTCCCGGGTCTGCCCGAGGTCGACTCAGCTTCAGATGAGTACCTGGTACGGTGTGTAAACATCGCCACTGGGGAGACAAAGGCGGCCTGGCGTGGTGTTGGCCACCCATTCCCTCGTGTGCCGTGCCGGCCTTCATAGGTGCTCGCTAGCAGCACTTGCCCCAACAGTCTGTTAAGGCTACACACGGGCGGATATTTGTCTTGGTATGTCTGCGTCTCGCTGGTCTATGTGATTGTTCAGAACGTGTGGAAAAATACCCCTTCAAATGTGTTAAAAATTATTGCGTGCGTCGTTTTAAATCGCCGAAAGGAAGTAAAAGACGCACACGTCTTTGTTCGCGACGCCAGCGAGAGCAATAGGAGCTGGGGGTCACGCGAGTGGGGTGGAACCCGAGCGGGTTTGCATGCGACAGGTCGTGGACGAGAGGGCGAAGGGGATTCCTGTATCGGTTCGCGGTGTTGTGTACAGATGGACCACGAGTCTTGCCGGCTCGTTTTAATAAAAAGGCCCTCTCTCTCCAACTCAGCGACCGCCTCTTTCTCGTTTTTTTACGATCAGAGGAAACAAGAAGATGCTCGGTGTAGTCGCCACTTTGCTTCGTTCATCATTTAGTTTTTTTTGTAATGCTTTGCTTTATGTAACCCCCCCCCCCTTTTTAACGAAAGATTTCACAATAGATCTCACGCTCTGCTCTCCTTACCCCTTCAATATCTCTATCTACCCCCTATCTCTCTACCCCCCTCTCTCTCTACCCCCTCTCTCTCTCTACCCCCTTTCTCTCTACCCCCTCTCTCTCTACCCCCTCTCTCTCTACCCCCTCTCTCCCTACTCCCTCTCTCCCGACTCCATGTCTATGCTCCCCTCTCTCTGTCCGCACGATCCGCGTGGCAACGAATTATTTGGAGTGGCTGACTGGGTTTGGAATTCCGTCTCGGGGCTGTTACTGAAAGGGGACTGGGAATACAAAGATGATGATGATGAGGAGGGCGGGAGCAGACTGGAGTGCTGACATCCCACTCTCACGTAATGTTAAGGAGCTGAAAGTGTCGAGGTCCGCTCGCCACGATGACGCGGCTTCAACAGAGTCGTTTTGTTCTTCCTGCGTTGGAGGAGTGTGATGCCGCCGCCGCGAAGCCGCTCGGCGGGCGCCCCATCTACGACCTCGCCACCACCAAGCGACGGGGCCGACCCCGCTTCCCCCTCACCGCCCCCCACATAAACACACCCTCACACATTTCCCCCCCATAGAGCTCCAAGGGGAGGTCACCTGGCCAGCAGGTTTTCACCCGAAAGCCCTCATAGGGATAATCTTCACGGTTTCCTGCGGCCAGGGAATTGGGCGACCTCCCCTGATGCTAATTCGCACCGCGGCGCTGTGACCTGGGTTGAGATTGTATGGTCACGGCGGGGGCTGTCCAGCCACCACGGTTGAAAGGCACCCCCCACACACACGTATCGGCAAGGCAGGCAGGAGTCCGCAGCCACGAAGGAAGGGAGAAGCCAAGGGGTGGGCGGCTGATTGGCGTAGCGGGTGTGCTCGGGGACCGCCGCCGCGCAGCAGCCCGCGGCGAGCCTTTGTTACGGAAACCGCGGCTGATTAGCACAGCAAAGGTGCCCGTGGACCACCGCCGGCACCGCAGTCAGCGGGGGGACCCATTGTTAGGGACACCGAGAATGCGGCTGAACAGGCGCGGCGACTTGATTGGCCGAGAAGGCCCTCGAATCGGCTTCCTTTGATGTAGGTTAACGATAAAAGGGGGGCGCAGACAGGTAGAGCGCTCTCTTGCTCCAAAAGTCTGCCCTCGGGACGGTCTCCAGTTCGGCCACTCGAACGTCCGTGTGACGCGTCGAGGTGCGCAGCGAGGACGAGACCACTGGAATGCCGTAAGCATCTAACTGTGAGTAAGAGGAGAGAGAGTGTTAGGATTGAGCCTCGGGAAACCAACATCGCTTAGAGTCCATCAAATTAGATCAATCGGGTACAGACCCTCGGGCGGTAGTGTAGGCCTGCCTTGTCGATCCTTACTGACTTAAAAGCGAATCGCAGTCGGCCGGTAATAAATCATTAATAACTAATCGTAGCCTCGTGTGGTTTCGACGAGCGTGTGAAAGCGCGTGGTGCTGTGTGTTCGTGCGCTCACAGCGGGTGTAGTCAGCGCTCCACGGGTGTACGCTCCCTCTGGCTGCTGCGGACCCCGCACCGCGTACGGACTAACCCCTCCTTACGCACGCCGTCTCGCAGCCCTTTAAACCTCCCGTAACGAAAACACCAATCGGCAACGCGGACGCGAGCGAAGTCATTCGCCCTCCGACCCCTGACCCCCCGTTCAGAGCGTGTGATTGCTGCGCGGGGCTGTGTGAGGGGAGGCGTCGCGTTTGATTGGCGAAGAGGCAACGCAGTGTTTAGAGGCGCCCGAGAGCCGGCGACGAGCCATGCCTCTCGCGAACTCGCGGGGGTGCGACCCAGGGAGGGGAGCCGTCGGGCGACAGCCCTTACCCCGCGAGCGATGAGCCCAGCGGCGGCAGCGGCTGTTCGCACACCAGCGAGGGGTCGGGAAGCGGCGGGACCCCTGCAGTCGGCGCCCAGCAGGGAGAGACCTCGGGGGCCAGCGGCCCCAACAGGAGCACAGACCACAGCGGCTTACGACAACGATGACTCGTTTTGGGTTGCATTGCCACACGATCGCACCACTGTGGCTTTGCCTTTTTCATTTTTTCACGCATGAGGGAGGTGTGCCCATCGACCTGCTGATGTTCTTGTGTTACCGATGCTCGTACACACACAGAACACATTCCTGCGGAGGGAGCTGGTAGGAACGTTGGGTTGCTCGGTCAATGGCCAGGGTCAACGGCGGCGTGGTGTATTTCGCAAATATGGACGACTGTGAGGGCGGGCACAAGCCGGCGTGAGTAGGTTAAACTTTGAGTTTTATAAGGGCACCACGGGGTGACCAGCCCCTCCCTCCCCACCCAGCCCCACCCCTCCCACCCCCCACCCAGCCCCTCCCCACCCTCCCCATCCAGCCCCTCCCCACCCTCCCCTCTCCACCCAGCACCACCCCTCCCATTTTTGGATGCACGACGGACGGACGGACACAATAATCCCCTGTGGGCTGATGCAACCAGGAGGTTCCTACCAGTATAATTCTGCATTAACGATTCCATGACTTCAGGGCATTCAATTGCACCGAGGTTTGTTCCAGATGCTGCAGTGCACTTCACGATGCTATCAGCAGGTGGCGGTGCGGCATTGCTGTCACGCTGCTGGGCAAGGCCATTCCATCATCACCGTCCGCTCCTCCACAGGCGGGCCCAACAATCTCACTCGGAAGTTTTGATTTCCAGTGGATATTTTTTTGAGGGGGGGGGGGGGGGTTAGATTGCGTAAATAAAATGCGTGTCCTAAATCCTCCACCTGACACGGTCACTTACAACACGCTGCGCTGGCGAGATGTTAACTGCCTCGCCTGCTATGCCGGAGATCCATGGGTTCGATCCCCAAGCTCACGCCTGTATATTTGGAGTTTGCGTGTGTCTCTCCCCGTGATCGCGTGGATTTTTTTCCGTGTCCGGCCCCCCCCCCCACACACATTTAGAAACACGCGTTTCGAGTATTTGGCTTAAATATAATTTCCACAATGACAAGCCACTTCGTTGAGCTATCGTTTGTGATAACCAGGTCGATTCTGAACTCAGTGGGACCTTACTTGGTAAAATAGAAAAAAAACATGGTTTAAAATGGGGTTTTTTGATAATTGGTTTTTTACCCTTTTATCTGACACATTTTTTTACAAGGAGTCATGTTTGCATTGACCACAATACCTGCAGTCAGAATGCAAACAAAAACACAACTCTGATAATGTATGCACTATCCTTGAAATTGATTGGTCCACACCCAAGACAGCTTTTCTTAGAGCCTCGTCTCACATGGTGTTGGACCAGATGACGCCAAAAGGAGGTTCCAATGATGTTTTTTTATTAATAAAGTTGACACCTGAATAAACGCGCTATTGCTGCTTCAGCACAGCGGTGTATTGGGGAGTGATCTCACATTCTCACAACATTTACATCGGGGAAAAGGTGCAGCCGGGCACATTCGAGTTTTGGGCCATTCCGATTTAAAAAAAGTTGGTAAAAAAGCGTCCACACACAGTGCGCGTTGCAATTTGTGAGCGGACAGCACATAAACTAAACCCCTGCGATGTAGGCCCCACTTGTCTTTACACAGTATTCCCTCGTTATTATAATCAGATTACGAAATTCCCGCGAATCGCATCTGAAACTCGACACCACGACTGCTGCATCGAGAAAGAGAGAGGGAACGCGATGAGATGAAGAGATGAGAGATGAAGCGATGAGAGATAAAGTGATGCGATAGATGTAAGTTCGTTTACGGATTATAACTCAATATACATTCACTTTATGTTTATTATAACCGATTAAAATGTTTCGTGTTATGATAATTTTCACATCAAATAGCTTATTTATTTGTTTAAGGTAATTCATTGCAAAGGATAGGTTTTGTCGTTGGCCAATCTCATTAGGGGCTGTCCATAAATGACGTCACGCACCTGGGGGGGGGGGGGGTCAGACATTTGTGACGATGTGTGACGAGGGGGTGTTTGAGAAATGTGACGTCACATCAAAATGCGCAACTTTAAATTAATATAGACAACACGTTC